ATGATAATAACTGTGTGGCACACTAGGGAAAACAGAGATGATTATCACCTTGCTCTGTTACCCTAGTCCTGGCCTGGCTACCCAGACTGTTGAGAGGATCAGTCTTTTGGCCACTTGTAAACCCTGGTTGGAAGCTCTGGGTTACAGCACAGTGTTAATAAGGTCTTAGGTTACTTCCCATGTGTTGTGTCAGATTTTCCCTCTTTCTTACAGTAGACTGTACAGTATGATTTACCAATATTGCAAATATGTACAATTTATCTACCTTACTGTTAACGGACATTTAGGTGTTTTGCAGTATTTGTAATTACAGATAGTGTTATGAATATGACTTTTGATGGAAATAAGCAGTTATTTCTCTTGGATATATACCTAGGAGTGAAACTGCTGGATCATAGGATAAGTGTACATTTAGTTTCATTAGATAATAACAGTTTTCTGAAGTAAGTATGCAGTTTTACATTCCCACCAGCAATGTGTGAAGTTCTAGTTACTTCATTCCCGACAGTGCTTTGCATTGTCATTTCTCCTTGTTTTAGACATTCTGGTGTGTGTGTGTAGTGATATTTTATTGTGCAGTTTTCTGAATACTAGGATGCTGAGCATATTTCATATGCCCATTGGCTGTGTTGATGACTGCTTTTTTTTTTAATTGAACTTTTAATTTTGAGATAATTGTAGATTCTTATGCAGTTGTAAGAAATAATAGACTCTCTGTGCTCTTTATCTGGTTTCTCCCAGTGATATCATCCTGCTAAATGATAGTAAAATATCACAACCAAAATAATTGCCATTGATATAGTCAATACACAGGACATTTCCATCAACACGAGGATCCCTTGTGCCCTTTTATAGCAATACTCACCCCTCCCACCTACCCACCTCCTCTTAACCCCTGGTCACCATTAATTTATTCTTTATTTCTATAAATTTGTCATTTATGTGTTATGTAAATGGAATAGTATAGTATGTAGTCTTTTGGGATTGGCTTTTTTCATTCAGCATAATTCTCTGGAAATTCATCAGTATTGTATCATGTATCACTAGCTTGTTCCTGTTTATTGCTAAATGGTATTCCATGGTATGGGTACACATCAGTTTTTTAAACCATTCATCTCTTAAAGGGCATAGGAGTTGTTTCCATTTATTGACTATTACAAACAAAGCTGCTATAAACATTTGTGCACAAATTTTGGGTGAACATACGTTTTCATTTTTCTAGGATAAACATTCGGGACTGCAATTGCTGGGTCATATGATAGTTGCTTGTTTAGTTTTTATAGAAACTGTCAAACTTTTTCAGAATGCTTTTGCCATTTCACATTTCCCCCAACAAATGCGTGAGAGATCCAGTTTCTCCGTATCCTTGTCAGCATTTGGTGTTTCCAGTATTTTTAAATTTAATCATTCTGCCAGTTCTATGGTGATAGCTCATTGTGTTTTTAATTTGCTTTTCCTTAATGGCTAATATGCTTATCTTCCATTTGCATATTCTCTTCAGTGAAATATCTGTTCATATCATTTGTATTTTCTAATTGGATTGTTCATTTTTTTACTGTTGAGTTTTGAGATTTCCTTCATTCTAGATACTAGTTGTTTGCTGGCTGTGTAGTTTACAAGTATTTTCTCCCATTCTGTAGCTAGGGTTTTTATTCCTAACAGGTCTTTCACAGAGAAAGAGTTTTAATTCTGAAGTGTAATTTATAATTTTTCCTTTTATGAATTGAGCTTTTGCCTAACCTTAGATCCCTAAGATTTTCCCTGATTTTTTTTTCCCCTAAAAGTTTTGCAGTTTTATGTTTTAGATTTATGTCTCTGATACATTTTGAATTAATTTTTGTATAAAGTGTGTATAAACTGTGAGACTTTGGCTGAGGTTAATTTTTTTTTTTTTTTTTTGCCTGTGGATATCTATTTGCTCCAGCACCATTTGTTGAAATAGCTGTTTTTCCTCTATGGAATTGCCATTGTACCTTGTCACAAATCAGTTGGATATATTTGTGTGGATCTATATCTAGGTTCTCTATTCTATTTCATTAATCTATTTGTCTATCCTTTTGCCAATATCACCAAACCTGATTGCTGTAGCTATATAATAAGTCTTGAAATTGGGTAGACTCATTCCTCCCATTTTATTCACTTTTTCAAAGTTGTTTTAGCTCTTATAGTTCCTTTGCTTTTCTATATAAATTTCAGTATAATCTTGTCCACATCTATAAAACCTTTTCTGGAATTGTAATAGAAATTGTGTTAAACCTGTATATTGCTTTGGGGGAAAATTGACATCTTTACCATATTGAGTCTTCCTATCTCTGAACATTTATTAGTCTGTTCTTTGATTTCTTCCATCAGCATTGTGTGTCTTTCAGTATACAAGTTATATACAAGTGTTGTAGATTTTTCCCTAAGTATTTAGTTTTTTGAGGAGTTATAAATGCTATTGTATTTTTAATTTTGGTGTCCATGTATTCATTTTTTTTATATAGAAATACAAATAACTTTTGTATGTTTATCTTATATCCTTTGCCTTTGCTAAACTGCATTATGAGTTCTAGGAGGTGTGTGTGTGTCTGTATGTAACTTGCTTGGGAATTTCTATGTAGACAATCAGGTTATCTGCAAATAGGGACAGTTTTGTTTTTTCCTTTCCAGGGACAGAGGAGATTTTTTTTCTGTAACTACTTGAATATATAACAGAGTACCATATTCTGCCCACTGTTGAGTCTAAAATGAAAGAGACATTACATTCTAAAACCTGAAGATACTAGGAGACCGTTAGAACTGAGGAGATGATTGAGGATACAGGGAGTAATTGAAAATGACACCAACATTTTGTTTCCAAGTAGTTGGGTGGATGTGGTACTATTACTTGAGGTTAGAAAATCAGAAATAAAAGCATTTTGGGGAAGTATAATAAGTTCTACTTTGGACATTCTTTTTTTTTTGGTGTGTGTGGTATGTCTTTATTGACATGTCCAATAGACATTTGAAGTATGCATTAAGAATTTAGGGGAGGGACTTCCCTGGTGGTGCAGTGGTTAAGAATCTGCCTGCCAGTCCAGGGGACGTGGGTTTGATCCCTGGCCTGGGAAGATGCCACATGCCTGGAGCAGCTAAGCCTGTGTGCCACAGCTACTGAGCCTGTGCTCTAGAGCCTGTGAGCAACAACTACTGAGCCCACAACTACTGAAGCCTGTGTACTCTGGGGCCCACGTGCCGCAACTGCTGAGCCCACGTGCTGCAACTACTGAAGGCTGTGCACGTAGAGCCTGTGCTCTGCAACGAAAAGTCACCGCAATGAGAAGCCTGCGCGCCACACAAAGAGTAGCCCCTGCTCGCTGCATCTAGCGAAAGCCTGTGTGCAACAACGAAGACCCAATGCAGCCAAATATGAAAAAAAAAAAATAGAAGGGGTTATATTGGAATTCCTACTTTGACATGATAGATGATGCTGTGGGAGAGATTGTATATAGAATGAGTAGAGATGTGAGGAAGAAATACTAACAAAGGAATAGCACTTAGAGATATCATGGGAGAATGAAAACAATGAAGTCACAGAAACCATAGAAACTTCTCTTTTGTCAAAGTTTTACCTATTTGTCAAGATCCATCTTCTGGGCATTATTACCTGTCCAGTCCCATCTCCTTTTTGGTTGTTCCCTAATATGTATTTCTGTAGCAGTTTCTCCTTCTTCTAGTATAGCATTTACCACACTGCCTTATTGTAGTTTATTGTTTATATATCTATTTCCCTGTCAAGTTTTTATGTTCCTTGAAGGCAAGGATTAGATCTTATTCATTGTTGTTTTTCCTGTGTATGGCATAGTTCTTAATAACAGTTTGTTTAATTGAATGAAGTAGGAAATTATCAGAGGCTTCTAAGTGGTACAGTAAGAAAAGAACTGAGAAGAGGCCATTAGATTTGTTGATCCCTGACCATAGGGAAGCTGTTATGTCTAGAATGGTGAAAAGTGAATGCAGAGTTCTCTGGTCTTCCTTTTCTCAAGTCAGTCTTGCCATTTCTTACAGTCCCTCCCTCATTCCCTAATTCTGCCCCCTTAACTTTTGTTCCTTTGATATATTGTTTCAGCATGGTAGAAAAGCATTTCTTCCTGGTGACCTGTGAGAATTATACTGTTCTTCCTAATCTAGCTCATATCCCCTTCTCAGTGAAACTGAATGAATGAATTTCTCTGGTTTTTATCATTGAAATTTTCGAATATGCAGGCTGACAGTATCTGTAATGTAGTTTTGTTTTAGCATTCAATTTCTATTTGATTGGACTTTATTTTTACATTTAAACGTATATTTTATTTTTCAGTATAAAACTTTAAAAAAAATTTTATTTATTTATTTTTGGCTGCGTTGCATCTTTGTTGCTGCGTGTGGGCTTTCTCCAGTTGCTGCGAGCGGGGGCTACTCTTCCTTGCCATGTGCGGGCTTCTCACTGTGGTGGCTTCTCTTGTTGCGGAGCACGGGCCCCAGGCATATGGGCCTTAGTAGATGTGGCATGTGGGCTTCAGTAGTTGTGGCATATGGGCTCAGTAGTTGTGGCTCATGGGCTCTAGAGTGCAGGCTCAGTAGTTGTGGCATACGGGCTTAGTTGCTCCGTGGCATGTGGGATCTTCCCGGACCAGTGCTCGAACCCGTGTACCCTGCATTGGCAGGCAGATTCTTAACCACTGTGCCACCAGGGAAGCCCCAGTTTAAAACTTTTTAAGGCATTATAAATATTTATCTCAATGTTTGGAGGTTATTTATCATATGATCCATGTTGTAATTTGTAGGTGTTTATTTTACCCATTACACTTTCAATAAATTAAAGTGTCTTCTGTCCCAGAAATTGAATTTTCATAGAGGAGCCAGTAAAATACTACAGTTTTTACTTTAAGTTTTAAATACATGCTATTATTTCAATATCTTCCACATAAGAACTAACTTAAGTGGGAAAAGTTGGTTATATTAAACAAAAGAGCCTTTTTTTAATTCTTTTTTTCCAGATTGCAGCAATTCTCCGGAAACGAAAATTAGATTATTATTTACACAAACTGCTCCCTGAGATCCTACAATCTGCTTCATTTCTGACTGCTAATGGGGCCTTGTTTATGGCTTTCTTTTGCATTTTAAGGTTGGTACACATAATCACAACTGGTGGTTAATACAAATTCCTTTGTTGAAACTGAAACAAACAGATGTTTATATAAATGTGTGCAGGTCACTGCTTGTGTATTTTTTTCTCTCTGTGAAATGACATTTATTTATCTCAAAGAATGCTTGTAAAACCAGGAGTTGTGGGCCTCTTGGCCTAAAAATGTAATATAAACTTCAAATTATTGCTGTGATTATATAGCAAAAGTGCTTTAATGTATCATACATTTTCTGAGGCCCACTATATTTACTCACTTGTTAATGAGAATTTCTTAACTTTTCAGTTTCATAGATTAGGAATTCAAAGCAACTCCATGATATTGCTTAGGTCCGTATGCAGTGAATGGACTTCAAAAGGACTATAAAATGCTTGTGTTTATCTGTAAAATTTCTGGCATATCCTACTGATGAAACTTTTGGCCCTGATGCAGTACATTATCTGTGTCACATGCTTCATACAATATACATGCAGTTAGAATTCAGTTTTTAGTGTTATGATATACTTAGCATGTTTATTAGATATTCACTTTTTATCTTTTCCCCCACACATTGTTGAAACCCAAACTAGTTTATTTAATTTGTCAAGTTAAAATACTAACTTCACATTATATTACTTTTAATGTTACCCAGTTAGTATTACCCAAAATAATTCTGCAGGTATATTTTAACTGCAATTAGAAATATAATTTCCGCTTGCGAGAACACCAGAATCACAACTAGCTGCTGGACAGTCATTGACAGGAAGACACTGGAACTCACCAAAAAAGATACCCCACATCCAAAGACAAAGGAGAAGCCACAATGAGACGGTAGGAGGGGCGCAGTGACAGTAAAATCAAATCCCATAACTGCTGGGTGGGTGACTCACTGACTGGAGAACACTTATACCACAGAAGTCCACCCACTGGTTCTGAGCCCCATATCAGCCTTCCCAACCTCGGAGTCTGGCAATGGGAGGAGGAATTCCTAGAGAATCAGACTTTGAAGGCTAGTGGGATTTGATTGCAGGACTTCGACAGGACTGGGGGGAACAGACTCCACTCTTGGAGGGCACACACAAAGTAGTGTGCTCACTGGGACCCAGGGGAAGGAGCAGTGACCCCATAGGAGACTGAATCAGACCTACCTGCTAGTGTTGGCAGAGGCAGGCAGTGGCTGTGTCTCACTGTGGGGACAAGGACACTGGCAGCGGAAGTTCTGGGAAGTACTCCTTGGTGTGAGCCCTCCCAGAGTCTGCCATTAGCGCCACCAAAGAGCCCAGGTAGGCTCCAGTGTTGGTTTGCCTCAGGCCAAACAACCAACATGGAGGGTACCCAGCCCCACCCATCAGCAGTCAAATGGATTAAAGTTTTACTGAGCTCTGCCCACCAGAGCAAAGGTCAGCTCTACCCACCACCAGTCCCTCCCATCAGGAAACTTGCACAAGCCTCTTAAATAGCCTCATTCACCAGAGGGCAGACAGCAGAAGCAAGAAGAAGTACAATCCTGCAGCCTGTGGAACAAAAACCACATTCACAGAAAGACAGACAAGATGAAAAGGCAGAGGGCTATGTACCAGATAAAGAAACAAGATAAAACCCCAGAAAAACAACTAAATGAAGTGAAGATAGGCAACCTTCCAGAAAAAGAATTCAGAATAATGATAGTGAAGATGATCCAGGATCTTGGAAAAAGAATGGAGGCAAAGATTGAGAAGATGCAAGAAATGTTTAACAAAGACTTAGAAGAATTAAAGAACAAATAAACAGAGATGAACAATACAATAACTGAAATGAAAACCACACTAGAAGGAATCAATAGCAGAATAACTGAGGCAGAAGAACGGATAAGTGACCTGGAAGACAGAAAGGTGAAATTCACTGCTGCGGAACAGAATAAAGAAAAAAGAATGAAAAAAATGAAGACAGTCTAAGAGACCTCTGGGACAACATTAAATGCAACAACATTCGCATTATAGGGGTCCCAGAAGGAGAAGAGAGAGAGAAAGCACCAGAGAAAATATTTGAAGAGATTATAATCGAAAACTTCCTTAACATGGGAAAGGAAATAGCCACCCAAGTCCACGAAGCGCAGAGTCCCATACAGGATAAACCTAAGGAGAAACATGCCGAGACACATAGTAATCAAACTGACAAAAATTAAAGACAAAGAAAGATTATTGAAAGCAGCAAGGGAAAAACGACAAATAACATACAAGGGAACTCCCATAAGGTTAACAGCTGTTTTCTTAGTAGAAACTCTACAAGCCAGAAGGGAGTGGCATGATTAAGTGATGAAAGGGAAGAACCTACAACCAAGATTACTCTACCCGGCAAGGATCTCATTCAGATTCGATGGAGAAATCAAAAGCTTTACAGAAAAGCAATAGCTAAGAGAACTCAGCACCACCAAAACAGCTCTACAACAAATGCTAAAGGAAATTCTCTAAGTGGGAAACACAAGAGAAGAAAAGGACCTACAGAAACAAACCCAAAACAATTAAGAAAATGGTCATAGGAACATACATACCGATAATTACCTTAAACGTGAATGGATTAAATGCTCCAACCAAAATACACAGGCTCACTGAATGGATACAAAAAGAAGACCCATATATATGCTGTCTACAAGAGACCCACATCAGACCTAGGGACACATACAGACTGAAAGTGAGGGGATGGAAAAGGATATTCCATGCAAATGGAAATCAAAAGAAAGCTAGAATAGCAATACTCATATCAGATAAAATAGACTTTAAAATAAAGAATGTTACAAGAGACAAGGAAGGACACTACATAATGGTCAAGGGATCAATCCAAGAAGAAGATACAACAATTATAAATATATATGCACCCAACATAAGAGCACCTCAATACGTAAGGCAACTGCTAACAGCTCTAAAAGAGGAAATCGACAGTAACCCAATAATAGTGGAGGACTTTAACACCTCACTTACACCAATGGACGCATCATCCAAAATGAAAATAAATAAGGAAACAGAAGCTTTAAATGGCACAATAGACCAGAAAGGTTTAATTGATATTTATAGGACATTCCATCCAGAAACAGCGGATTACACTTTCTTCTCAAGTGCACACGGAACATTCTCCAGGATAGGTCACATCTTGGGTCACAAATCCAGTCTCAGTAAATTTAGAAAATTGAAATCATATCAGGCATCTTTTCTGACCACAACACTATGAGATTAGAAATGAATTACAAGGAAAAAAATGCAAAAACACAAACATGTGGATGCTAAACAATACGTTACTAAATAACCAAGAGATCACTGAAGCAATCAAAGAGGAAATCAGAAAATACTTAGAGACAAATGACAATGAAAACATGATGATCCAAAACCTATGAGATACAACAAAGGCAGTTCTAAGAGGGAAGTTTATAGCTATACAAGCCTACCTGAAGAAACAAGAAAATTCTCAAATAAAGAATCTAACCTTACACCTAAAGGAACTATAGAAAGAAGAACAAACAAAACGCAAAGTTAGCAGAAGGAAAGAAATCATAAAGATCAGAGCAGAAATAAATGAAATAGAAACAAAGAAAACAATAGCAAAGATCAATAAAACTAAAAGCTGGTTCTTTGAGAAGATAAACAAAATTAATAAACCATTAGCCAGAGTCATCAAGAAAAAGAGTCATGAAATCAATAAAATTAGAAATGAAAAAGGAGAAGTTACAACAGACACCACAGAAATACAAAGCATCCTAAGAGACTACTACAAGCAACTGTATGTCGACATAATGGACAACCTGGAAGAAATGGACAAATTCTTAGAAAGGTATAACCTTCCAAGACTGAACCAGGAAGAAATAGAAAATATGAACAGACCAATCACAAGTAATGAAATTGAAACTGTGATTAAAAATCTTCCAAAAAACAAAAGTCCTGGACCAGATTGCTTCATAGGTGAATTCTGTCAAACATTTCGAGAAGAGCTAACACCCATCCTTCTCAAACTCTTCCAAAAAATTTCAGAGGAAGGAACACTCCCAAACTCATTCTATGAGGCCACCATCACCCTGATACCAAAATCAGACAAAGATATTACCAAAAAAGAAAATTACAGCCCAATATCACTGATGAATATAGATGAAAATATCCTCAACAAAATACTAGCAAACAGAATTCAACAACACATTAAAAGGATCATGTGGGATTTATCCCAGGGATGCAAGGATTCTTCAATATACGCAAATCAATCAGTGTGATACACCATATTAACAAATTGAAGAATAAAAACCATATGATCATCTCAATAGATGCAAAAAAAGCTTTTGACAAAATTCAATACCCATTTATGATAAAAACTCTCCAGAAAGTGGGCATAGAGGGAACGTACCTCAACATAATAAAGGTCATATACGACAAACCCACGGCAAACACCATTCTCAGTGGTGAAAAACTGAAAGCATTTCCTGTAAGATCAGGAACAAGACAATGGTGTCCACTCTCACCACTATTATTCAACATAGTTTTGGAAGTCCTAGCCACGGCAATCAGAGAAGAAAAAGAAATACAAGGAATACAAATTGGAAAAGAAGACGTAAAACTGTCACTGCTTGCAGATGACATGATACTATACATAGAGGATCCTAAAGATGCCACCAGAAAACTACGAGAGCTAATCAATGAATTTGGTAAAGTTGCAGGATACAAAATTAATGCACAGAAATCTCTTGCATTCCTATACACTAATGATGAAAAATCTGAAAGAGGAATTAAGGGAACACTCCCATTTACCATTGCAACAGAAAGAATAAAATACCTAGGAAGAAACCTACCTAGGGAGACAAAATAGACAAAAGACTCGTTTGCAGAAAACTATAAGACACTGATGAAAGAAATTAAAATGATACCAACAGATGGAGAGATATACCATGTTCTTGGAGTGGAAGAATCAATATTGTGAAAATGACTATACTACTCAAAGCAATCTACAGATTCAATGCAATCCATATCAAATTACCAATGGCATATTTTTACAGAATTAGAACAAAAAATCTTAAAATCTGTAGGGGGGAAAAATATATATGGAGACATCAAAGACCATGAATAGCCAAAGCAGTCTTGAGGGAAAAAAATGGAGCTGGAGGAATCAGACTCCCTGACTTCAGACTATACTACAAAGCTACAGTAATCAAGACAATATGGTACTCGCAGAAAAACAGAAATGTAGATCAATGGAACAAGATAGAAAGCCCAGAGATAAACACATGCACCTATGGTCAACTAATCTATGACAAAGGAGGCAAGGATATACAATGGAGAAAAGACAGTCTCTTCAAAAAGTGGTGTTGGGAAAACTGGACAGCTACATGTAAAAGAATGAAATTAGAGCACTCCCTAACACCATACACCAAAATAAACTCAAAATAGATTCAAGACCTAAATGTAAGACCGGACACTGTAAAAGTCTTAGAGGAAAACATAGGAAGAACACTCTTTGATGTAAATCACAGCAAGATCTTTTTTGATCAGCCTCCTAGAGTCATGGAAATAAAAACAAAAATAAACAAATGGGACCTAACAAAACTTCAAAGCTGTTGCCCAGCAAAGGAAACCATAAGCAAGACAAAAAGACAACCCTCAGAATGGGAGAAACTACTTGCAAACGAATCAACAGAGAAAGGATTAATCTCCAAAACATATAAACAGCTCATGCAGCTCAATATTAAAAAAAAATCAACCCAATCCAAAAATAGGCAGAAGATCTAAGTAGACATTTCTCCAGAATAGACATACAGATGGCCAAGAAGCACATGAAAAGCTTCTCAACATCACTAATTATTGGAGAAATGCAAATCAAAACTACAATGAGGTATCACCTCACCCCAGTTAGAATGGGCATCATCACAAAATCTACAAACAACCAGTGCTGGAGAGGGTGTGGAGAAAAGGGAACCCTCATGAACTGTTGGTGGGAATGTAAATTGATACAGCCACCATGGAGAACAGTATGGAGGTTCCTTAAAAAACTAAAAATAGAATTACCATATGACCCAGCAATCCCACTACTGGGCATATACTCAGAGCAAACCATAATTCCAAAAGACACATGCACCCCAATGTTCATTGCAGCACTATTTACAATAGCCAGGTCATGGAAGCAACCTAAATGCCCATCGACAGACGAATGGATAAGGAAGATGTGGTACATACATACAATGGAATATTACTCAGCCATAAAAAGGAACGAAATTGGGTCATTTGTTGAGACATGGATGGATCTAGAGACTGTCATACAGAGTGAAGTAAGTCAGAACGAGAAAAGCGAATATCGTATATTAATGCATATATGTGGAGCCTAGAAAAATGGTACAGATGAACCGGTTTGCAGGGCAGAAATTGAGACACAGATGTAGAGAACAAACGTATGGACAGCAAAGGGGGAAAGCATCAGGGGTAATGGGGGTGGTGGTGTGATGAATTGGGAGATTGGGATTGACATGTATTCACTGATGTGTATTAAACTGATTACTAATAAGGAAAGAAAATTGCTCATAATAAGAACAGTATTTCTTCCTTTCTGAATTCTTATACCTTGTATTTATTTTTCTTGCATTATTGTGCTTGCTAAGATCTCCAGTACAGTGTTAACTAGAGGTGGGAATTATGGGGAGCTATGAATCATTCTCAGTCTAAAAGTGAAAGCTTTTAATGTTTTACCAAACTAGTTTTTTGTATATAAGGAATAATAAATTGAATAATAATTTTATCCTTTTTTTTAAAAAAAAGAAATATAGTTTCCAAATGTCTTCTATAGATTTTTGCCTTAAGAACATTAATATTTATAAACTTTTAGTAAGTGATAAAGTTTATACTATTGAATAAGTCATGCCTTTCAATTGACCTGAAAAATCTGTGTAAGAAACTCTTTACCACGTAGTCTCTGGAAAGTTTCTAATACTTGTTAAAACTCTAAAAATAGAGTTATACAATAATTAGGTTTTAAAAATTGCAATAATAATAAATTGGTCTTGCAGCATATTTATGTTCTATGAAGCTTTTGGTTAAGTTTTGGAGACATAAAATACTTATAATAAGGTAACATCTGTGTTCCTCCTATAACTGACTCACTCATTTATTTTCCTTTATTGTTTATATTCAGTAACTTGTTAAGTCCTTTGTGTATTTTATGTTGAAGGGAGAATCACTTCTAGTTTTCTTAGGCAGAAAGTTTCTGATGTCCATTGCAGAAATACCCATGTTATATGTAGGTTTTCTAATTGTTTTAAAGCTAAGCTTCAGTTAGAAAGAAAATTTCATCTGATATTTTATCCTTATCTGTATGTACATAGCATATGTTTTTTCCTGTAATACATCATTTAGCAGTTGACCAACTTTGTTCAGATAATTTCTTATAATTTTTTGTTTCTCCCTTTCTTAGGAACAAATTGTCTTTGAAAGGAAAAAAGAGTCTTCCTAATATGTCCAGATTTCTTTTTTTTTTCTGTTTAAAAACCCAACCCAATGGCGTTTATAATTTGTGAGACATTATGCAGATTCTTTCTCCCAAGGGATATATTCTAGTAAATGAAAAATTTTATATACACATATAAGTAAAAAATACTTTAGTAAGCAATATAAGAAAAAACTTACCCAGGGTTGTAGAAGGAAAGAAGGAGAGACATTTTTTGAATATCTATCATGTGTTAAAAAATAGTAATAGTTGAAAAAAAATGATACAAATGAACCTATATACGAAACAGAAATAGACCCACAGATATAGAAAACAAATTTATGGTGATCAAAGGGGAAGGGCGGGGGGTAAATTAGGAGTTTGGATTAACATACACACACTACTATATATAAAATGGATAACAAACAAGGACCTACTGTGCAGCACAGTGAACTATACTCAATATTTTGTAATAGCCTATAAGGGAAAAGAATCTGAAAAGAAAAAAATATATATATATATAACTGAATCTCTTTGCTATATACCTGAAACTAACACATTGTAAATGAGCTATACTTCCATAAAAAAAGAGCCATAATGAAAAAATAGTAGTAGTGATAACAATAGTAATAATAGCTAACATTTTCTGAGTACTTCATGGATGGTGCTGGGAAATATCTCATGTAGCCATCATAACAACTCTATGAGATAGGTAATACATTTATTCCCGTTTGGTAGATAGGAAACTGAGAACATGGAAGGTTTGCAGAGTGAAAAATATTGGATCCAGGGACTGTCTGAATGAATATAACAGATTAAATTATTGGAAGGAGAGATACCTATTAGTTTGCTATTGTAGTAGCCTGAAGAAGAGATGGTGAGGGACATAACTGAGGCAAGGGCAGTAGGTTGGAGAGGAATTTGAGAGATAGATTGTACATGGAAGTATTTAAGGGGGTGATTTCATGTATGGGGTATGGAAGAAGGTGGAGCCAAGGATGTCTCAAAGTGTCACACGTAGGTGGATAAGTGGTTGTTGATACCATTAACCTAGGAAAAGAGAGGAGAAAGAACAGGTTCATGGAGATAAGGGAGAAAGATAATGAGTTTGGTTTTGGACATGCTGAATTTGAGGTGCTGTGGGACATTTAGATAGAGGGTGAACTGAGAAGGGGAGGAACTTCTATGTGTAATAACTGAAATGACCAACTAGAAATTTCATATAATCATTCCAAATTTCAATTTCAGGAAAATACTTGGAAAATTCTACTCATGGAGTCCTGGCTTTGGTGCCGCTTTGCCAGCTTCTTATGTGGCCATTCTAATTGAGAGAAAAAGCAGGTAAACTTTTACATACCTACATATTTAATACAACTGATTTACTGTCCACCATCACAACTAGAGATTTTTTTTTTTTTGCTTACTGTTTATCATGGTCCAGGGAGGAGAAATATTTCTACATATATTTTTCAGTCTTGCAAATATTGGGCTGGCCAAAAAGTTTGTTTGGTTAGGGAATATGTTGTTCAATACAGTTCTTGGTGAAAATGAAAAATGTGTCTTTTACTTTTATTTAAAACTGAACGAACTTTTTGGCCAACCCAATATTTGATGGACAATTTAACTTTATATTTATATTATTTAAGTTTTTAAGCCTATAAAAAATAAAGATTGATATTATATAGTAACAATGCCCATTAGTCTTTGTTTACTAAAAAATTGAAGGGTTCTCTGATGTGTTAAACTAAAACATGGCTTGCATAAATTCTAATTAAAGATCTTTTCCATAACTGCAATACCATTAGCACACCTAAGAAAATAAACAGTTTTCTTTTATCATTTAGATCTGTAATTTGCTTTGGGCTCATTAACCTCTATTAAATCAATGATTATTTTTTAGATATCTTCTCATTTAAAAAAATTTTCATTTTTATCAACTTGAAAATGTTCCACGTGGAATAATAAGATTTCTACAAAATGCTACAAACTGTTATGTAAGTTTTTCAGTCAGGTAAACTGTTGAAGTTAAACATTTTGCATAAAAGAATATTTGCCATTTCAGGAATAATTATTTTTATTGTTGAGAACTGCTTTGATTCCATCTTTATCCCACAGAATAAAGATACGGTCATGTATATTAATCAAGATGGGATCATCTTTCAGTTTATGAAGATGTTTGTTATAATCATCGATCCCCTAGTAAGACTATAGATAGATCTTGTTAGGTGACTAAATACTTACTTAAACCACCTGAAGCCATTTTAATGCATTCTTGTAAATGTAATAGTATCTAAATTTTTGTGATTCTCTGTTTGATGATACTTTTAGATTATTAAAATTACTAAAATCAAAGGATGTTATAACCCCAGGAAAATCAAGTCAGTATTGCTAGAAATACAGGTTCCCCACCTGAGAGGACAGTACAGAATAGTTGTTAAAAGTGTGGATTCTGGAGCTATAAAATCTGGCTTGGGAGACTGGCTCCGCCACTTATTGTGTGACATCTATGGCTTATTCCTTAACTGAAAAATGGAGGTAGTGATAATCTACTCACATGGTTATTCAGAGAATTAAGTGAGTTACTTATGTAAGTGTGCTTAGAAGAGTGCCTGACAATGGTAAGTGTGTTAAGTATTTTTATTGGTTTTTTGCCCGTAAGTAATGAGAGCCCTGTTCTGGTGATTGTAACTTTCTGATCAATTTAAAAATCTAAATATTGGTTTTGGAAATATGATTTCAAAGTATGTACTCATATATGAAACTTTAAAGATATTTTAAATGAAGTTTGCTTCAATTTATTTTTAGCACTTTAATAAGGTGGCATTTTTGAAGTTATTTGCCTACTTTTCAGCAGAAAATGTTGAAATGATCACCTGTGTAATGATCACCTAGAGTCAACAGTTGTTAACATTTTACCATTTTTACTTTATTTGTATGTGATTATATGTCTATGTATGTGTGGTATTGTGTGTGTGTATGAACCATATAGAAGTACATTGTAGACATCATGACATTTTACTCCTAAATACTTTAGAATGCATATTCTAAAATAAGGGTACTTTCCTACATAATTACAACACTATTATCACACATAAGAAAATTAGCAGTGATTCCTGATTACCATCATGTCCATATTGTCCTAAAATGCTTTTTTTTTTTTTTTTTTTTTTTTTGCGGTACGGGCCTCTCACTGTTGTGGCCTCTCCCATTGCGGAGCACAGGCTCCGGACGCGCAGGCTCAGCGGCCATGGCTCACGGGCCTAGCTGCTCCGTGGCATGTGGGATCTTCCCGGACCGGTGCACGAGCCCGCGTCCCCTGCATTGGCAGGCGGACTCTCAACCACTGTGCCACCAGGGAAGCCCCATAGTTTTATCTTTTCTAGAATGTCATATAGTTGGAGTCATACAGTATGTTGGCTTTTCAGATGGGCTTCTTTTACTTAGTAATATGCATTTAAGCTTCTTCCATGTCTTTTCATGGCTTGATACGTTGTTTCTTTTTAGAACTGAATAATATTCCATGGTCTGGATGTAGCACAGTTTATTTATCCATTGACCTACTGACAGACATCTTGGTTGCTTCCAAGTTTTGGTAATTATGGATAAAGCTGCTATAAACCTCCGTTTGTGGGTTTTTGTGTAGGCATAAATTTTCAACTCCATTAGATAATTACTAAGGGGTATGATTGCTGGATCATCTGGTAAGAGTATATTTAATTTTGTAAGAAACTGCCAACTGTCTTCCAAAGTGTCTGGGTCATTTTGTATCCCCACTAGCAATGAATGAGAATTCCTGTTGCTCTACATCTTCACCAGCATTTAGTGTTATCAGTGTTCTGAATTTTGGCCATTTTAATACATGTGTGGCGGTATCTCACTGATGTTTTAATTTGTATTTCCTCGATGATATATGTATTTTGTGGAGCATTTTTTCATATGCTTACTTATTTTAATCTCTATGTGTCTATATGTTTAAAGTGGGTTTCTTGTAAATGACATATAGTTGGGTTATGTTTTGAGATCAACTCTGACAGTCTGTCTTTTAATTGTTGTATTTAGACCATTGACATTCAAAATGATTATTGATATAGTTGGATTAATTTCTACCATATTCATTACTGTTTTCTCTTTGTTGCCTTTGTTCTTATTTTTGTCTTCCACTCTTATTCTGCCTTTTGTGGTTTTAACTGAACATTATATGTGCTTCCATTTTCTCTTCTTTCTTAACATATCAGTTATACTTTTTTTCTTTTTTACTTTTTTTAGTGGTTGCCTTAGTTTTTACAGTACATCTTTACAACTAATCGAAGTCCACTTTCAAATAATACTGTACCCCTTCATAGGTAGTGAGAGTACCTTATAATAACAAAATAGCCCAAATTCCTTCCTCCTGTCCTTTGTATCATTGTTGTCATTCACTTCACTTATAAGCATAATTACCACACACACACATACACACACACCACACACTCGATATATACATGCATAATCAAATACATTGTTGCTATTATTTTGAATAATTGTTACCTGTTTGAACAATTAAAAATAAGAAAAATAAAATTAAAAAATTTACCTTCACTCATATCTTATTTGATGCTCTACCTTTCTTTATGTAGATGAGTTTCTGACTCATATTTTTCTTCTCTCTAGAGAACATTTAACGTTTCTTGCAGAGCAGGTCTACCGGCAACAGATTCAATTTTGTTTGTCTAGTAAAATCTTTATTTGTCCTTCACTTTTGAAGGATAATTTTACAGGGTGCAGAATTCTAGGTTGGTGTTTTTTTTCTCTCAGTGCTTTCAGTATTTCACTCCACTCTCCTGTTTGCATGGTTTCTGAGAAGTCAGATGTAATTTTTTTTTTTTGCGGTACGTGGGCCTCTCACTGTTGTGGCCTCTCCTGTTGCGGAGCACGGCTCCGGACGCGTAGGCTCAGCGGCCATGGCTCACGGGCCTAGCTGCGCTGTGGCATGTGGGGTCTTCCCGGACCGGGGCACAAAGCTGTGTCCCCTGCATTGGCAGGTGGACTCTCAACCACTGCGCCACCAGGGAAGCCCCAGATGTAATTCTTATCTTTGTTCCTCTATAGGTAAGGTGTGTTTTTCTTTAAGGATTTTTATTTATCTATGATTTTCTGTAGTTTGAATAAGATATGCCCGGGTGTAGTTTTTTTTTTTTTTTTTTTTGCGGTACGCGGGCCTCTCACTGTTGTGGCCTCTCCCGTTGCGTAGCACAGGCTCCGGACGCGCAGGCTCAGCGGCCATGGCTCACGGGCCCAGCCGCTCCGCGGCATGTGGGATCTTCCCGGACCGGGGCACGAACCCGTGTCCCCTGCATCGGCAGGCGGACTCTCAACCACTGCGCCACCAGGGAAGCCCCGGGTGTAGTTTTGTTTGGGCATTTTTCCTGCTTGATGTTCTCTGAGCTTCCTGGATCTATGGTTCAGTGTCTGACATTAATTTGGGAAATTTTTGAGTCATCATTGTTTCAAATATTTCTTCTGTTCCTTTCTCTCTTTCTTCTCCTTCTGCTATACTCATTACACATATGTTATACCTTTTGTAATTATCCCACAATCCTTGGATATTCTCTTCTGTTTTTTTTTTCAGTCTTTGTTCTCTTTGCTTTTCAGTTTCTGAGGATTCTACTGATAGATCCTATAGCTAAGAGATTTTTTTCCTCAGCTGTGTTCAGTCCACTAATAATCCCATCAAAGGCATTCTTTTTTTAAAAAATTTATTTATTTATTTTTGGCTGTGTTGGGTCTTTGTTTCTGTGTGAGGGCTTTCTTTAGTTGCGGCAAGTGGGGGCCACTGTTCATCGCAGTGCAATGGCCTCTCACTGTCGCGGCCTCTCTTGTTGCGGAGCACAGGCTCCAGACTCGCAGGCTCAGTAGTTGTGGCTCACGGGCTCAGTTGCTCCGTGGCATGTGGGTTCTTCCCACTAGGGCTCGAACCCGTGTCCCCTGCATTGGCAGGCAGACTCTCAACCACTGGGCCACCAGGGAAGCCCCCCAAAGGCATTCTTCATTTCTGTCATAGTCCTTTTCTTTATGGTTCTTTCTTAGGATCTCCGTCTCTTTGCTTATATTGCTCATCTGTTCTTATATTCTGTCTATCCGTTTAGAGCCCTTACCATATTAATCACTGTTGTCTTAAATTCCTGATCTGATAATTCCAACGTCCCTGCCATATCTGGTTCTCATACTTTCTCTGTCTCTTCAATTTGTGTCTTTTTTTTTTTTTTTTTCGGTACGCGGTCCTCTCAACTGCTGTGGCCTCTCCCGTAGCGGAGCACAGGCTCCGGACGCGCAGGCTCAGCGGCCACGGCCCAAGGGCCCAG